ATTTTTTTGAGGATTAAATGAGGTAATACATTTAAGACACTTATCCTGGTGGCAAGAAATAGTAAATGCTCAATAAATATTAGCTAAAAGCATATACATACCAAGGTATATGGGTTAATACAGATGCTGAGAGAGTATCAGATTCAGTTCTGAGATTCTTGACAGTCTAGGTGGAGAAGAAAATTAAGTTACATGGAAAACACATGTTCTTTCGGAGAGTTTTTTCTTAGCACCAAATATAAATTCATCCCACAGGGTTCTAGGCATATTGAGTACTGGAGTTGATTGTCTTTGACCCCCAAGACTAAATTTGTGAACTTGGACAAGTTATTTAACCTCTCATGTATAAAAATGCAACTTGATGTATATTTTACTTTTAGTTGCTTTCGATATTTATAAAAGGTTCCGAATGAAGTCTTTTGGGAATTGTCTTCATTCAACCCTATATTACTGAAACTTGTTTATAACTAGTTCATTCATAATCATCGCTGTGTAACATTCCATTATGTGATTATATCACAATTCATCCATTCTCCTGTTGATGGGCATTTAAGTTGTTTCCAAGGTTTTTGCTATTGCAAATGGTAGTGCTATAAAAATTGCTGTATAGATCTGGTACCCAAGTACACTCCCCTCCAGTAACCTGCCTTGTAAATTCCAGCTGTTTTACCAGCCCCAAACTCCCACTCTGCCTCCTCAGCTCAGTGATATCACCACTCTGAGTTCCACTCCTTGTATCATGGTTGGGAACATTCTCCCCAAAAAACAGACATGGTGAACCTGAGGTTTACCCTGTGTATTTCCCTTCTTTTAAATATCAGTCTGCTTTGACTGTTACCCAATTCCTGAAAACAGTTGCTTCATATATTTTGTCATTTTATAGTTTAGGATAGGATAAGTCTGATACCAATTACCATGTCATAGCTAGAAGCAGAAGTCTATCCATCTCTATTTTCTATTAGAAGTTTTAGTTTTGTTTTGGGCTTTTAATCCTTAATACAGCTGGAGTTTATTTGCTCCAAGAGAAATTTAAAGGTAATTTAAAAGATGCACTATCTGAGATATTCTTCAAGATACACTTAGTTCTATCCAAGGATTGAACTGAAAACTACATTCTACAAATGCTATGTGATTGGCATGAGGTAGAGATCATTTTTTCCCTTAAGGTAATCATTTCACCCCCAGTTTCTTTAACTGCTGGTCTTCATTTCTTCACTTGTAAAGGGGGGGTAATGATATCTGATATATGAAACACATGCACACACACATAGCCTTTATGGAGGTATGCAACATAGCTGTCTTACTCTTCTGATTAAAGACAGATTTTAAGACTTTGAAACTTGAATAATAGTTAACATTTATATTACCTTGACTATGTGCCAGGAACTATTCTAAGCACTTTAGATATGTTAAGTTTTTAAATCCTAATGACAACCCTATAAAATAGGCACTATTATTTCCCCCATTTTACAAATGAGGAAACTGAGGTATAAGAGGTTAAATAACTAATATCCAAGGTCATACAGATAATTTGTAGTAGAACAGGGATTCGAATACAGACTTCAGAGTCCACTATACTGTATATACTACCATTCAAATGAGCAGATTTTAATATTGTATTACGAAATTAAGGAGCCCTCCGTCTACCTCTGCTCAGATGTAGGCCTCAGGCCTGATTTATTCAGAAAACAAATCTATCAATGGTCAATTATGAGCATTTTATAACTTAAAAATCAGAATTACAAAGCAATTGTTGGATCTAATTTAGAGAGAGTCCTTTTAATCTCAAATTCCAGGTATAGTGGTCCCTGAAAACAATACTCTCTTTTGTCCAATTTCTTACAACAGATTGTTTCTAATGAATAATATACATTTTCACAGTGCTCATTACTTTTTGGTGGCTTTCACATGGAATAATTTGCATATACCTAAACTATTGGCCTACTAGATATCTGGCTCTGGTCTGGTTGGGTACCTGCCATGTTTTCCACTGAATTATATATGGATTTTTTTTTTTTTCCAATTACATTATGTCCAGAAATGAAATATATTTCAAGATCCCAGTAAGAGGCTGTATCTTAAGAAATAAGTGAGCCCCTATTTAGTCTGGTGCTGTCACTTTTTCAAATTTCTTAGCCTACCTCTACAGCACTTAAGAATTGGGAGACATGACACTAAGTCAATTGAGACAAATCAACACAGCCACTTACTTGAATCTGTTAGCAGTTAGTCATGTCTTCTCTTGACATGTGTTTTGTACCACAGGTCCTATGACTATTTCTAATTTCATTTCTCTCTACTCACTTATTCTGTCAGGTTGTAAAGAATTTTGATTTAAAGACATTTTTGCTTCCAGTAGGAAATTATATAGTATAATACACTGCTAAGAAAGATATATGTTGCTGAGGTTATTTTTTATAATTGGATAGATGACTTTAAGAAATTGCTATACGTAGGCAAACAGGTAAAAATAAACTGTTTCCTTCCTACAGATATGTAAGATCTGAGTATTCTAAGCATGTGTAACAGAATTCTAACACTCAAGCACATACATACTCAACTATGGTTTATAATATTTTAGCTATTAAGTGTATCTTATAAACAATAAAATCAAGTAATTCTTTCAAATGTGCAGTGTTTAGATTTAGAAACAATTACAAGTAATGAAAAAACTCATGGATTAAAATACAATATTTTATTTTTTCTCACCTAAAAAGCAACCCAGAATTAAGATATACATAAGCTTCTCAAATTTACCCTAATAAAATTTTGAATATTTATACAATTTCTACAGAAACATACAGTGTATCAAAATCTGCATAAATCAAATTTATAAAATGTGTAGAAATGCATAGTGATATTATCAACTTACAAAGCAAGGATATGGGAATTATTTCCAAAGCAGCCTACCGTAGAAAATAGTCATTATGGCAGCAACTTCTGATGTTTTTTGTTTGGTAAGGTTTCTGATTTCAATATATAGAATCATATTCATACAGTATCTTAATGAATTGCACAAAATACCCATTTAAAATTTACATGCACAGTTCATTGCCCCCTTTCTTAGGTCTATGCATAGTTAACAAGGTTATAATCTACTCAACTTGGAAAATGGAGAGCCTACTTGCAAACACACAAGTAAAGTATCAATTCTCTTTTAGTTTCTTTTTTATGGTTGATTTATTTTGCAATTACATAAGCATATAAATGTATTCCTTTTAAACATCCTTAGAGATGAAAGTTAAAACAGTTGATCACAGATCAGTAGCAAAATACAAATTGACAACTCAAAATTATAAATAAAACTTGAGGATGTTTAACTTTGACTCTCCAAATTTAAGAACTAAGCTTGGAAGAAACAAATTTGTAGGCTTTTCTTTTAAACAAATGTAAGTTTTTTCTTTTCTTTTTTAAGCTTTAATTAAAAATATTTCCCTTTTAAATTAAAAAAAATATATATTTCCCTCTGGCAGTAGTTTGTGAATTCCTTTCATTGTAATGACATCATGATTGCAAGATCGATAATGCTTAATTTACTTGCCATTCCCCACCTTATCACATTGTTTTATTTAGCACTCAATTTAGGCATTTTAATCTTTTGGGTGATAAAAGATTATTTATTTAGAAATTAAAATCTAATTGGCCATTTGTAGTATTTGGTTCTCCTATAGTAGGGACTATCTTAATAAATGTTTAAATCCAAATAAATCTTTTCACTGGAAAAGTACTAATAAAAAAATATGATTCCTAAAAAGAAATTAAGAAACACTAGGGAACTAACACCCAATCTAACATTAAGTATTTCAACATTTTTTAATGAACTATATCCTTAAATAGTCTTTTTTTTTTTTTTAGTTTTAAAAACATGCAGGGAGTTTCATTTGGATGAAGATAAAAATGAAACATCAATTCATTCTTGGATTCATAGGTTGCACAGCTTAGGTTATATAACGCACAGGAGTTTTATAAGGCTTAATCTAATAAGGGCTTGGAAATTCTTCAGTCAGAATGAACCTTTGACATGTTTATAATGGTGTTTTGTTGTTTTTTGTTACTCCCCTTTCAAGTTTCAAAATTGAGAATTATTTATAGTTTTCTATAGTGACAGGTACTGAAGAAAAGTAAATCCCAAATGTTAGTGAACAGTTTCTCTCTCGAGTTAGAAGACTCCTTTGCAATCCTAGGTGTTGGCACGGACAGAGGGCACTGGGAATGCCAGCAGGTAAGGAAGATAATACCACACAACTTCAAACCCTATGGAATAGGCTTGGGATATTCTATATTATTTCTTTCTTAAGCTAAACAACATTCAACTTCATAGCAAAGGGCAGCACATAAATTCATTTCTGAGTAGTAAAAGTATTCCCCATACAGGTGACAATTCCATCATTACCATCCTATAAATTTCATCAAAAGCTCTTGAAATATATACTGAGAAATGAAAGAGGCACTAAATGTGTTGAAATTCACCTTTCAAAAAAGCAGCATGACTGTGAAGGAAGGCCACCTTGGCTAATAACCTGTGGCAGTGCTTCAAAAAGATGTAAAATTAAATAAAGACGCAACAGGTTGATAATTACCAAGTCATATATGAAAGTCTGGTTACTCCAGCCTTTTTTCAAGTGTGTTTAAAAAAAAAAAAAAAATCGAACTGCCTTTCAGAACCCTGAGTGTAATCCCAAAGAAGACAACATGCTTTTAACTCTATTCTAATAGAACAGAGCTAAAGGCACAAATTACCAACATCATCTAAAAACAAAACAAAAAGGATGTAAACATCTACAAAGTTTAAGGTAAAAGCAGTTTTGTAAACAGTAACTGCAGATGATAATGTTATTGTAAAATCACAGTTTATCAACGTTCTTCAAACGGATCAGGAGGTTCCGGGTTTGGAGCTGTACAGAGTTAATAGTAACAGTTGCAGCAGGTTTCAGGCAGTTTTCAGTCCTGTATAAATTTACTGGTCAGTAGGTAGGTTATTGGTTTCTTTTTTATTCTTTCTAAACACTATGAATGTTATTCATTTCCCACTTTTGAGTCATTTTATTGGAGTCACAACTGGAGAGGAATACTTGATGTAGGACCTCTGAGCGATCTAAGCACTTTCCTGAAGGAATGTGAGTAAATCTGTGCAGGTTCTGGAAAACACAGTAAGGAAAAAGAAGTTTTAAAATTTGCACTCTTTTGATATCACTGACACTAAAGGAAGTCATCACCTGACTCTCCAAAGAAGACAATTCAAGCAAATGGACAAGCTTATACCAACCATACCTCAGACTCTGCATTTCTCTTGATTGTCAGTCTTCTAAGTCCTAAGTTCTTTTGTTAAGTCCCAATATACTGCTGGTACCTCAAATTCAATGTATACAAACCTAAATTCATTATC